TTGTGTGGTGTGGTGCATGGTGCGTGTGTTGTCTGCTGTTGTGTGGTGTGGCGCATGGTGCGTGTGTTGTCTGCTGTTGTGTGGTGTGGCGCATCGTGCGTGTGTTGTCTGCTGTTGTGTGGTGTGGCGCATGGTGCGTGTGTTGTCTGCTGTTGTGTGGTGTGGTGCATGGTGCGTGTGTTTTGCGTTTGTGTTATTTTTGTATGTGTATTCCTGTTTATACTTTACCCTTGGTTGTATAGTGCTCCTTGAGCGCTTTTGTCATTACTGACGCTTTGGTCACGCCCCATCTGGGTAGTGCTGCTTTTGTGTGTGTGTGTGTGTGTGTGTGTGTGTGTGTGTGTGTGTGTGTGTGTGTGTGTGTGTGTGTGTGTGTGTGTGTGTGTGTGTGTGTGTACTCACCTAGTTGTACTCACCTAGTTGTACTCACCTAGTTGTGTTTGCGGGGGTTGAGCTCTGGCTCTTTGGTCCCGCCTCTCAACCGTCAATCAACAGGTGTACAGATTCCTGAGCCTATCGGGCTCTGTCATATCTACACTTGAAACTGTGTATGGAGTCAGCCTCCACCACATCACACACACACATCACACACACACCACATGTATGTGTGTGTGTGTGTGTGTGTGTGTGTGGGTGTGTTTATGTGTTTTCTGTTATTCTTTGTTTTCACTTTTGTGTTGATCAGTGTTACTTGTTATCTGTGTTATTGTTATTCTGTGTTATTGTTATTCTGTGCTTTCTTGTTTATATGGTTACTATACGCTGTACTTGCTCTGTTTTAAAAATAAAAAGAACAAAAAAATGAGCTCGCTAACGGCGTTACGAGCCATTACGAAACAAGCGAGCGAGGTGAACGAGGCTGTAGACAGATGTAGTAGCAGTCGGCAATATATATATTGATTGTTATTCAAATTTGTATGCTTGAATGTGTATTTTTTTATGAATTTGTGGTTCATTAGCAAACCAATATATATTGTATTCACGTGAAGAAAATCATATGTTTTCTCTCTATAAAACTACGAGAAATCTTTGAGAATATATATGTGATGAAAAGTATAATTTGCAAAATATAATATCCGCGAAATATGCTTCTGATATATTGTGTTGAATATGCCGGCAAATACGGAATTATGGCCAATAAATGTACAGTATAATGTAATAAATGTACAGTATAATGTAATAAATGTACAGTATAATGTAATAAATGTACAGTATAATGAAATAAATGTACAGTATAATGAAATAAATGTACAGTATAATGTAATAAATGTACAGTATAATGTAATAAATGTACAGTATAATGTAATAAATGTACAGTATAATGAAATAAATGTACAGTATAATGTAATAAATGTACAGTATAATGTAATAAATGTACAGTATAATGAAATAAATGTACAGTATAATGAAATAAATGTACAGTATAATAAAATAAATGTACAGTATAATGAAATAAATGTACAGTATAATGAAATAAATGTACAGTATAATGAAATAAATGTACAGTATAATGTAATAAATGTACAGTATAATGAAATAAATGTACAGTATAATAAAATAAATGTACAGTATAATGAAATAAATGTACAGTATAATGAAATAAATGTACAGTATAATGTAATAAATGTACAGTATAATGTAATAAATGTACAGTATAATGAAATAAATGTACAGTATAATGTAATAAATGTACAGTATAATGTAATAAATGTACAGTATAATGAAATAAATGTACAGTATAATGTAATAAATGTACAGTATAATGAAATAAATGTACAGTATAATGTAATAAATGTACAGTATAATGTAATAAATGTACAGTATAATGAAATAAATGTACAGTATAATGTAATAAATGTACAGTATAATGAAATAAATGTACAGTATAATGTAATAAATGTACAGTATAATGAAATAAATGTACAGTATAATGAAATAAATGTACAGTATAATGAAATAAATGTACAGTATAATGTAATAAATGTACAGTATAATGTAATAAATGTACAGTATAATGTAATAAATGTACAGTATAATGTAATAAATGTACAGTATATATTTTTATTTTATACTATTTTTTACATTTACTTGCAAAAGTATGCTACATAAATACCATAAAAACAAACACAAAATAGAAACCAACAACAAAAGTACAAGTTATAAAGGAACAAAACAATAACCCCCAAACCATAGCCAAACAAATACACGAAAGCAAATAAATACAAAAGTACATAGCAACAGACTCAAACAAAGAGACAAATACACAAGTCGCCCCAAAACGGACACAAAAACATCACACATTACAAACAATACAAATGAACAATCAAAAAGCCTGAAGGCCTGACGACAAAAACAGCAATCGAAACACATCAGTATGCCAAAGGCAAGGGACATACGTGAGAAGGCAACGCTTTCATACATTTATGCTGATAATCCTTCTCCAGAAACCGCAGACAGTACGCCTGGTGGAGGACCATACGCCAAAAAGGAGGCCGGATCGAGGACCGGGCCGTGGGGACACTATGCCCCAAAATCATCTCAAGATAACCTTCATGCTGGGTACCCACACGGTGGACGAGCACCAGGGAACCGGCCACACGCTGACACCCCAGACGGGGTTCAGACTCCTCATATATAACAACCGATATGGAGCCCCCAACGAGGACACTCCCATTCCCCGTGACACCACAGGGCCCTAACTCGCAACGGATCGCCGCGCACAGGCGCAAAGCCCTCTCGTCGACCATCTTAAGATCTACCACGAGTCCACAAGCCACATCATCTTTTTTTTGAGATATATACAAGAGTTGTTACATTCTTGTACAGCCACTAGTACGCGTAGCGTTTCGGGCAGGTCCCGGGAATACAATCCCCGCCGCGAAGAATCGTTGTTACAACCAAGTACTCATTTTACTGTTGAGTTAAACAGAGGCTACAGTTAAGGAATTGCGCCCAGTAAATCCTCCCCGGCCAGGATACGAACCCATGACAAAGTGCTCTCGGAATGCCAGGCGAGTGTCTTACCACTACACCACGGAGACTGGTACACAGGTAACTGGTATCTTCCGCAGAGGGGGCACCACCTCCCACTTCGTGGAGCCCACATCAGGAGGCCCAGGGGAAGGGGGACACAGGAACCAACACAGAGCTCCCCACACCAGCACTCGCATCCGTCGCGTGGATATCCGTGGTGGTGGTGGATGTCCACGCGACGGACATTTCGGAGCTCACAAAATCCCTCACGTGCGCCCAGGTGGGACCATCCGAGGCGAAAACAGATGAACAGCGCCGCGAGCGCTTAGGGTCAGGACACAGATCATCCGAGCTCTCCACTGCCACAGAATCTGACTCCCGAGTGACGCAAAAAGTCCACGACCTGCGTACACAACAGGAGGCTGCAACCCAGCACACTCCATTGGCACGTCAGGCAGATGAGGTGAGTAAGCCGAGACGTGAACCATGGGAGAACAAGGCACAGCAGCCACAGAAATGGGAGGAAGAGGAAGGGCAACCTACCGAACCACACCCACACCGACAGCACTCATGGCAACCGCAGAAGATGCAGATAACGACGGCACGGCACCCTGCGTCCGATCCTCACTAGTTGCAACTTCACTACTTACACGCACGCCATCCAAGGACACACCTACATCTTCCGAAGCCTTGTCAACAATCAATGGGGGGAAGTCCTCCACGCGGAATAGATTATCTTGGTCGACGGCGTCCACGGAGCACCCTACAGCCATGTGGTCCGACAACCCACAACGGAAACAAGTCCGCGGCTGCCGTATGTAATAAACACGGACGTAGTACCACATCAGCCTTACAGAGGAAGAGATGTCAGATCAAAGCCCCATCTCCAGTGTCCAGATGCTGTTGAGTACTCCCTTCAAGCAACCGGAGGGTATAACATTCATCCTCACATTCACTACCTTTCCAACCTGTCCAAAGTACCTCCTTAACAAGTCCTCCGGGAATTCAATATTGGCACCATGTATACTGAAGTAGGTGGAAACGCCACTGCAGTCGGAGATAACAACCGACCCAGCACCACCCGGCAACTGGAAGTACGCCCATCAAATCGGCTCAAAAACACCTAGTAGTCCTCGCCAGTGGAGAACTTCACCACCGCCCTATGCTTCGGCAACAGTTCCACACCACACACGGCACCCACGTCGATACCCAGCACATCAAACAGTGTCCATTCCACAGCCGGGTAATCCACATTGCCGGAATACTCTAAAGCCAACTGACTGAGCCCTCAGCACGGGGGTCAAGGGTCACCCCCCCCCCCCATCACACACAGCACGCTGGGTACAAGGTCCCAACCAACCACCACACCAACGACCAGCCACAAGTTGGGGACACCCACGCCTGGAGTGAGCAGCCCATACTTCTGCTCCCTCTGGTGGCAGAGCACGCAATCCCTGTACAGTAGACTGGAATCGTTGGACATTATAAACTGAATAATGTCTTCCAGTAGACTGGAAGACAATATTCAAAGGAAAATACAGCATTGTTGTATGCGAATTCTTGAAGGATGTATTTAACGCCTTTTATTCTTCTTCTGACTAATTTAATAGATACTCTGTTGAATGTATAATATTTATAATAAAGCAATAGACGCTAAGTCTGTTGTTGCTAATTTATGATCATCAGATAGATTAGCCGAGGAACGATATCCATTACGTCGCTTGTGGTACAGTAATAATAATCCATTACGATACTAGTGATACAAATATAGATTCTTTCGTGTTTTCCATCATCGTATATGTATTGTTAATCGATAATTCTCTCACGTTTATTGGCATTTGTTGCAGGTATTGTAAAATTCACTGTATATTCTTCAGTGATGTTCCTCGCAGGTATTGTAAAATTCACTGTATATTCTTCAGTGATGTTCCTCGCAGGTATTGTAAAATTCACGGAATATTGTTCACTAGTTTTCCATGCATGTATTGTAAGATTCTCAGTGTACTGATCACGGGTCTTCGTTGCAGGTATCGTAGGGTTCACCGAGTATTGTTCACGACACACAGATATCGAAGGTGCGTCCAAGATCGTCAAAATGCTGAACGACCTGTACACTGCCTGTGATGTTCTCACGGATGAGGTCAAGAACCCTAATGTCTACAAGGTACAGAACTGACCTCGTACACCTTTGTACACAGGGAAGCTGTACATCGCTATTTGTACACAGGGAAGCTGTACATCGCTCTTTGTACACAGTGAAGCTGTATATCGCTCTTTGTACACAGGGAAGCTGTACATCGCTCTTTGTACACAGTGAAGCTGTATATCGCTCTTTGTACACTGGGAAGCTGTACATCGCTCTTTGTACACAGTGAAGCTGTATATCGCTATTTGTACACAGGGAAGCTGTACATCGCTCTTTGTACACAGTGAAGCTGTATATCGCTCTTTGTACACAGGGAAGCTGTACATCACTCTTTGTACAGAGTGTAGCTGTACATCGCTCTTTGTACACAGTGTAACTGTATATTGCCATTGTTCACATAGCAACTGTACACTACTGTTGTATGCAGGATAGTCATTGTACACAAGGTAAGTGTACACCACAGTCCCAGAACACAGAGTAACTGTACCTAGCCATTATACACAAGGTGATCATAGAAAACTGTCATTTTATATCGAGAACTGAACACCTCCTTCATTGGACATCAAGAAGCAGTACATTGTACACATTGTACACCAAATAGCAGCACACCACCTACCTTGAAAACCAGGTAGCAGAACACCACCGTCAGTGTACACCAGGTAGCAGAACACCACCGTCAGTGTACACCAGGTAGCAGAACACCACCGTCAGTGTACACAGGTAGCAGAACACCACCGTCAGTGTACACCTGGTAGCAGAACACCACCGTCAGTGTACACAGGTAGTAGTACACCACCGTCAGTGTACACCAGGTAGCAGAACACCACTGTCAGTGTACACAGGTAGTAGTACACCACCGTCAGTGTACACCAGGTAGCAGAACACCACCATCAGTGTACACCAGGTAGCAGAACACCACCATCAGTGTACATCAGGTAGCAGAACACCACCGTCAGTGTACACCAGGTAGCAGAACACACCGTCAGTGTACACCAGGTAGCAGAACACCCCCGTCAGTGTACACCAGGTAGCAGAACACCACCGTCAGTGTACACCTGGTAGCAGAACACCACCGTCAGTGTACACCAGGTAGCAGAACACCACCGTCAGTGTACACCAGGTAGCAGAACACACCGTCAGTGTACACCAGGTAGCAGAACACCCCCGTCAGTGTACACCAGGTAGCAGAACACCACCGTCAGTGTACACCAGGTAGCAGAACACCACCGTCAGTGTACACCTGGTAGCAGAACACCACCGTCAGTGTACACCAGGTAGCAGAACACCACCGTCAGTGTACACCAGGTAGCAGAACACCCCCGTCAGTGTACACCAGGTAGCAGAACACCACCGTCAGTGTACACCAGGTAGCAGAACACCACCGTCAGTGTACACCAGGTAGCAGAACACACCGTCAGTGTACACCAGATAGCAGAACACCCCCGTCAGTGTACACCTGGTAGCAGAACACCCCCGTCAGTGTACACCAGGTAGCAGAACACACCGTCAGTGTACACCAGGTAGCAGAACACCACCGTCAGTGTACACCAGGTAGCAGAACACACCGTCAGTGTACACCAGGTAGCAGAACACCACCGTCAGTGTACACCTGGTAGCAGAACACCACCGTCAGTGTACACCAGGTAGCAGAACACCACCGTCAGTGTACACCTGGTAGCAGAACACCACCGTCAGTGTACACCTGGTAGCAGAACACCACCGTCAGTGTACACCAGGTAGCAGAACACCGTCAGTGTACACCTGGTAGCAGAACACCACCGTCAGTGTACACCAGGTAGCAGAACACCACCGTCAGTGTACACCAGGTAGCAGAACACCACCGTCAGTGTACACCAGGTAGCAGAACACCACCATCAGTGTCTAACAGTCAAACTGTAACAGACCATTTTCCCTTTCCCACTTCTTTTCCCCTTTTTCTATTTCCTCTCACCCAGCCCTCCCTCCTCCCACAACGACCATGACAGTAGGAAACAAATCCCTCAGTCCAGGACTACTAACATTCGCTCTCCAGTTACCCTTGGGCCGACCAAGGAGGTCTGTTTCCTCAATATCTGGCATATGTAAAGTGGAACAGACCAGGTCCGTTCACCAGGCACCCGGTGTAGATATTTTAGCACCAGCCTACGGAAGTGAAATCTTCCTTTCCGGGCAGGCCCAAGCATAGGGCCGGCGGTCATTGGTTGAGCCTCAGGGTAAGCATAGAGGCCTAAGTGGGCGGAGCTCTCTAGTAGTGGTACCTGGCACTCATTGGCTGGACTCGAGGGTCCAGAGCCAAGATTTAAAATGATTGGCTATGGACCTTACGGTCTACGATCATGTGGAACTTACCAACTTTACGATCATATCCCCGTAGCTCATCTTATAACGCTCCCACACCACCAGCCACTGAGGCACTCAGAACACTGTAAACCAGATATAACCATCTCTTATAACTCATAACGAAGAGTGGGTGGACGGAGGAGCGCAAAAGACAACAAAGGGAACTACAAGATGAGCTGCAAGATCTATGCAAAACAGAGTACATAAAAAAATGGGATGATCTAATAAGCGAAATTCAAGTTCACTACAATTCACTACAGAAATCCAGGAAAGTTCTGGAAAAAGTAAAAACCCTGATGGAGAACTCACCCTACATCATAGACGCCTCAGGAAATAAACTTTACGAGGAGAGAGAACAAGAACGGGAATTTTTGGGAAAAATATATTCTGGATAAACCCGGAAGATAATTTAAACTTCTACCCCATTAATGAAAGGGAAATTACATCTCAAGTCGATAACAGAGCTACAACACTACTCTCGACGCAATCAATAGACCTTAACAACATTCGCAATGACTGCCACCTTATCAAACACACAACCGTTGCAGAGGTCATAAAACAATTATAGATTTCAAGAGGAAGGCGCTGGGCAACAGCAGGATAAATAAGATGGTATTAACCAACCTACCAGTGATTGCACTCCATCAATACACATGTATAGTAAATGCAGCTCTTGCATCTGGACTATTCCCCACATACTTCAAGAATGCCACAATCAGATTAATCCCCAAGCCAGGTAAACCCCCAACCCAAACTGAAAATTTCAGACCAATTTCCCTCCTCGAAGTACCAGGCAAAATATTCGAGAAAATAATCAATCAGAAACTTCTGGAGAATATGGAAGAGGAAGAGAAGTAAAACACCTGGCAGCATGGGTTTAGAAACCGCAGAGGGGCCCATACAGCTAAAGCCCTGATCTACCAGCATATAGCCAAAGCAATGTCGAAAAAAGGTCAGTGTAATATAGTGCTTACAGACGTTTCGAAAGCCTTCGACAAAGTTTGGCACACAGGCCTAAAATATAAGATATCTGAGCTAGGATTCCCTCTGATATTTACTGCTACGCTCTGCAGCTTGATAGACAACAGAACTGCTAGGCTCAATATCGGCAGCTGCTTGGGTGATATAATAGAACTGAAAAGTGGAGCACCACAAGGAAGCTGCCTCTCCCCCACTCTATTCAACATATATACATCTGACCTGCCCCAACCCCAACATGGAGAATACATCACATACGCTGACGATGTCACCCAAATAACATGCCAACCGGGACCATCAAAGCCGCTACTAGCCAACAACACCAAGGCAGCAATTGAATTCATTAAGAACTTAGAAAAGCAAGGAAAATAAGCACAAATAAACCAAAGACCAGATAATACACAAAGCAAAAAGAAACCTCAGACCCCATTATCCTTGACAACCGTCCGATCCAATATGCGGAGGTTGACAGAATACTTTGACTTATGATCAATAGAACAGGGAAAAACATTCATGTAAGGGACCGACTAAACAAAGCAAAGAAGCCTTAGGAAAACTGCGGAGATTCCGAAGCCTCAGTACAAACATACAGATCCACCTATATAAGGCTCTAGTTCGGCCGCATCTAGAGTATCCCCCAGTACCATAGCTTGTCATATATAGGATTCTGGCTTCACAGCTAGCGCACTTTTGACAGGTCAAGACGAGGATGCAAGATTATGTGCACCAGTTACTGGGTGATATGGAAGCTACCTCAAAGAGGATAATTTGGTGTCTACACCCTAGTTATACCTGGTGGACTAACCTGCTGTACTATAAGAGAAGGAACCTCATCAATGTATGTAGCTATTACTGTAGTTTGATTGGCTGCATATATATAAATATAAACCCCCCTAATGTGTAGAGGATCGATTTGTGAGATTATGAGATTATTGCAGAAATACAGTCCACTTATCATTATACAAATTGCTATCGAAGTATATAAATTAACGTAAATATAAATTCATATAAATTAAATAAATATAAATCTCACAGGTCGGTTCCCACATTATTTGGTCATCTTCGAACCGGATGACGGATTATTTGATCCTTTGAACCCACATTTTGGTCATCTTAGTACCGGATGAACCAGTTATCCAGTGGATTCATTAAATATACTAGTGCAGTGTTATTTAAACAAAGCCAGCAGTCAAGACGGCAGCGTAGCCTCGAGGGAGCTCAGGAGCCTCCCTCAGCCCAGTTCAGCTTCGTCAGCGGTTTCATGCACACCCACAGATATTTGGTGGCGTGTTATTTCGTGAAATGACAGCGCTAATATAGAAGCCAGCCAATTAGTGACTGTGTCTTCGCGATATTGTTCACGGATTTCGTGGTGTTACATTTCGCGAGAGATTATCTACGAATTTTGTGGAGTTTATTTCGCGAGGTCACTAATAATATTTAATACTTCTAGATAATATTAGAAGTTTCATAGAGGCTAATTAAGAGGCTATTATCAATAATTGTGTATATTATTTCTCCAAAATAGAGAATTATTTAATATATACTGCACTAGTGTTCTCAATATAATATTTACTAATTGCCAACCCACATCAGGGTAGGATATTAACCATTGACTAGTTGAACTATTATTGTTCATCCTAGTCCCATTATTACTATAGTCAGTTGTACTATATTGAACAACCTAACACCATTAATGA